TTTAGGGTTTAGGGAGGAGTTACATGAGAGGGCCATGGGGGATTATGTAAGGTGTATAAGGAGTTATGTAGGGTTTAGAGGTTTCGGGCTTGGGTTTTTATGGTTTACATGGTATTTTCTCAGCATTATATGGTTATGTTGGAGTCATATACGGGTTCTAAATAAAACGGGGAACCTCATTCTGGAATCAAACAGAACAGTAAATCAACAATTGCATGGAAACGAAGTTACGCAGCGCCGCATAGGTTTATGACGGATCAGGGCTTTAGGGTTTAGGGNNCTAAACCCTAAACCCTTTGGGTGTAAGTTGGCTTGGAAATGTTGGTATTTTGGGCTTCGGGTCCTGGCTTCTCAGTCATGCCTGAAGATTCGTGTTTTCAGCGGCTGGCTTACACGCTTGCGGGACATTCTGTGGATGGAGGCTATCTTGCACAAACCTCTATGCTAGGAATTACAGTATTCTGGGAATTCCTCCTTGCAGCGCTTCCTTGATTTCCTGATGTGGTCCCTGAGCCCTTGTGCGAACATCCTTGCAGCGGCCCAAAGAAGTCAGGACTCATGTTCCTTCAAGGTCCGTAGTCAAAGCCGCATGTGCAGTACTAATCCCAGACATGAGCTTGCATTCAGAATCCATCATTGTTCGGCTTACGAGGATATACGCTCTCATTTAGGCAGTGTTTAACTGATATGTCATCTTCACCTGGATATTTTGCTTCTTATGCTCCCCTCTCACACCTTTTCGGCAGGCCAAACCTCGATATAGCTGGGTTTGGGGAGGTTTCAAGGATCAATAGGACAAAGATGCTTTAGGGGCTAAGGCTTGGGATTTAGGGATTTAGGGATTTGGGTTTCTGGGTGTGGGGGCTGAACCAGGACCTCCCAAAGCTAGCTTCGAGTAATAAAAGCATAGTAATTGGCAGTTGTGGTTCTCGCAGGAATATCAGAACGCTGCCCCGAACTTACATGGAACCTCAAAAGGGTGCTGTGAAGACAACTGTCCGTCAGGGGGGTTCGCTTCCATGGTGTTCCAAGTCAGTCTGGCGGAGGGTAATCAGCTTAGATAAGCAGAAAGATGGTTGTAAGAAGCATGCTACTCAAACTTCCAGCGAACATCATGGTATGGAGTGAAATGCCCACTTGATGGCGAGTGCTTGCTCTGGGCGTATCAAAGCTCCGCGCCTCATCACTAAAGATCCCTCAGCAGCTAGGATTTTGAACTTGGAAGCTGCTCAGGCTACTTCTGTGTATGTGCAGCGGCCAAAGATGATAATACCAAAGTTGAGCTTGCGCTAGTAAGCAGGGCACCATCAGCTTTCTACACGATGACCACGACGACGGCCTCACGACTGGCATGGTGGTTATTAGCCTCATCTCCCTTGCAACAAACCCTGAAGCCTCATCAACCAAGGAGCTGCGACAAAGGAGTAGGCTCCGCAGGCCCACTCATCCTCAATCCACGCCGTTCTCTTCACCTCAACATGGGCTGCGCAGACCTCCGGTACAAGTGCCTTACGGAGAAACATCCCCCTAGGGGCATCCCCCACCCAGCTCCTGACCTCAAGGAGCTTCGCAGCATCGACCTCCTCGGGCTTGAACATAGACTTCCTCAGTGTAGCCCCCAGGAAACTAATCAACAGGTGCCGTCCGTTGGGTTGGCTGGAGGTAAGGAACCTCGGACCACAGCTACCATGGATTCAGGAGGGCGGGCTTGTGTCTCAGACAGGTGTAAGCTCTAGAGACATGTGGATCCCCAGGTGTGGGCCCCTTGTTAGTTGCGGGCTGTACACTTAATAATGGAGATAATTAGGATTACCATATGGGTTATAGGGGTTATCAACCTACTTACTAAGTCCCCTGGGCCCTCTAAGTAGGGACTCAAGCCCTATACCCTCAACCCTAAAGCAGCAAGGAACCAAACCCAGTACCCAAAACGGAAATCAGGGAAAGCAGGGTGAGCCAGTCATGCAAAAAAGCCCCTCGGGTGAGATTTGCAAACCCATGGCCTGCTTTCTGTGGGACTACATAGAGTTAGTAATAATATACAGATAAATATAGGGGTTGTATAGGATTAAAACATGGGAGGTTAGGACCCAGAGCATAATGGGAAGTGGAGAAATAAATGTCTTTCCAAAGTCAATTCGGCAATGCAACCAACTTGGCAAGCCTAATCGCTGAGGTCCTTGTGATCGCTCGTGCTTACTTAAGGGACAATTTAGGGCATTTTCAAGGGATTGTTTTGAGGAACAACTCGCCCTCTCTCCTCAAGCATCAGACCCGTAACCAGCGCTCTTGGGCCACACGATTCTCGTTTCTGAAAGTCTTCATACAGAGGATCCGGTTGCTTTGCGCACATGCAAAAAAATATAATTCTGAAACGCTCTCCCCGAAGGACTCTCAGGAACCTGAGAGTGACAACTCAATGATTCAAGCCGACTGTTCGCCATAAACCATACACTACACATCTCAGGACGACTGCCTAATGCAATCGCTTCCTCAACAGGAACACTAGATAATGGTTCCAATGAGTAACCCAGTACTGACCATCCCTTCAGCTATATCTCAAACCTTAGGCTCCCTGAAACCTTATGAAGCCTGGATAAAATAACCCCTTCAACCCTCATCTGACTGTGGGATACATGTCCCCCATGTACCCCAAACCCTTCTTTTATTCTGATCAGCCTACAGTATGCACGTCCACAATCCCAGAAGTACTTGGTTCTCCTAGCGATCTTCTTCGAAAAGCTCCCACATGAGGTAAGGTTCAATAGAGCCAGCGCAGACTTCACCGCCTCCTCCTCGCTCAGTTTTGCAACGATCCGCCCCGTCTCAGTGGCGTAATAGGCGATCAGAACATTCGATCCAGTTACGGGGCGAAGGCTGAGCCAATACCTGAGCTGTTCATTGGTTTGGGAGTTTGGGTTCTGGCTTGTGCCCGGCGTCTAGATTAGGACTTCAGGGTTTAGGGCTTAGGGTCCAGCACCCAGGACTCAGAGTTTAGGGCCTGGGCTGATAATATGGCTCCCTCCCTTCTGCGACTGAAGGGTTGTTTTGGGTTTAGGGTTAGGTTGGGTTGACGGATGAGGGCCAACTACTCAATAAGCCACGACCAGACCATGTGCATACCGTAAAAGCCTAAATCCTAAATGACTACCAAATATTACGCATAGCCTGATCTCTTACAGGGGATTACAAGGGATATACAGGGTTTGGGTATAATGAAATGAAATGGAAGCTGGAGATATGCAGGGGACTCAAAGGGAGAATTGGCAATATTAGGGTTCTTAATGGCACAAGGTATCTCAAGTGGAACTCGAAAATTGCGTTGATAATCATTGATTCCCTTAAGCATAATATTCAGCAAAGCTCACGCAGAAGATCCCATGAGTGAGAACAGTCCAGCGAGGCAGGGCGAGTTGACAACACCTTTTCCTGCAACAGCCAACTTTGCTGGTTTCCACAAACAGGGCAGCTCCCCATGTAGAACCCAAGAAACCATAATATTGATGATTGCTTATTTGGGAACACCCCTATTATGCGGAAACCCTCGTATCTACGCTTAAAACATGGTTGGATACAGGCATACAGGTGCCAAGGACACACTGTCCAAACAATGTAATACCGCCAGGCTCATGGGTACCTATCCGTAGGCTTACGAATCGAATACATACGATTTCAGTACACCTCTTTCAAGGCATCTTTACCCCTTTTTCTAGCCACCTGCGAACCTATCCTACCCTCAACAAAATAGCATGGAACTTCAACAGGTAGCTTACAGAGGCTCATGTCCTTTTCAAAATACGTGCACCAGAGCGGTTTAGGGTTTAGTTTAGGGCTTAGGGCCCCAGGCCGTTCCATGTTACTTTGGGCTACGTGGCACACAGCTGGCGTCCAGCATCCTGGCATCTGTTAGCTCCCAACGTGAGTTTGACTGTAAGTGTCTTCCCCAAAGTACAGAAATCAATAGAGGGACCTGCACTATAGGAGAAAACCGAAGAAAGATGGAATAGAAACCAGTTGGAGTAACCTTCTCCAAATCCTAAACCACAACCCCAGACCCTAAACCCTAATACTGGCCTGGACCCTAAACCCTTGAGCCCATGTCCCTCAACCCCTTACATGAGTTTGCTAGCGAGGCTCGGCGCTTCGCAAGCCGCCGGTGTAGCCCGTGCTTCAACAGTTGGGACCTGATTCAGGATTAGCTGATTCCCTCCCAGTAACAAATACCTCAAAGGGTAATAGTCGTTCTCATAGCCCCTTTGAAAAGCTCCGTTTAACAACATTTAACGGGTGGGGGCATAACCCAACTGAGTGGTTCTCCATGGTCAGCCCGTCACCCTATTGACCCATTCCAACCGCATCATCGTAGATGTTCCTAATGTACTCCCATTTTCGATTAATTTGCTATCCCGTGTGGGGTTGGGGGGGAGCGTGTTTGATAACCACAGACTGTAATCTTACCATAAACTGACATACTACGATGCTGCGCTGGTACCTTGGTTAGCGTTCAAACATGTGTAGGGGTTGCGTGCGTATATCGTAGCTCCCCCCTAGTAATTACTGAAACACCGAACTAATAACAAAAACTTCCCCAAAGTGGTACAAAATTGGGAATATGGATGGAGAGTGGCAATTGTTGCTAGGCTGGGGGTGGGGCGGGGGTTCAGCAGAAGATATTTCGAACCAACACTGTTTTCAGGACAAGCAAGCATGTGGGAGTATGGGCTGTAGACTGGTGATGGGTTTAGCATTATCCGCACTGATATCTTTAAGGGACTATGGCTTACAACCTTGTAGGCATAGGGTATAAGGTTCTGGGCTTAGGGCTCTTGCCTAGGTTCTGGCGCTGCGGGGCATCGTATAGGATGGTTAGGACAGGTCTCCTGTTTGGGGCACCAGAGATGGGCTGTAGAACTGTTTAGGGTTTAGGTTTTAGGATTTAGGGGTTTGGATTTATGGTGTTTTTCTGCGCATAAAAAACACTTGCTCTTTTCACGGTGTTTAGGGTTTGGGCTGGGCAGACAGGCTAAAAGACAACAAAGCTAAGAGGCTATACCCTGCTACAGCCCCTCTTGACACTACAAAATCCTACAGCTATCCCTAATAACACATCCGCTGTAAACATGAAAGCTGTAGTCCGCAAGGTTTGGCGAGCTTATGTGTCTAGCTGCGGATGCTCTCTCTTTTTTGCGCATGCGCTTGCTGAAAAGCTCTGCAATTCTCGTCACCATTTGGCCTAGGCACCCGATAGAAGCAGTGGAGTTGCTTGGCCTTGCCTTCCCAAAAGCAATGCCTCGGATGGCAACCAAGGGTGTTCAGGGTTTAGGGATCTGGGTGCGGTGCAAGAGTACCTTAAGAATTCCATGCTTGTGGTTGGAGTTCATGGCTTGCACAAATAAATGACAAATAATGATTAGGATGTAGCAACTTCCTTTTGGAAGGTCCGATTTTGGAGGGATATGGTATTTGGTATAAATTGCTTGTATTGCTAAGTGACCTACACCCGTTGAATCGCGCACACTTTCAGACCTTAAAGATGAGTCAATCCCTCACTCTGCCTGCGTTGCAAAACGCCGCTCCCAAGCTGCAATGGCGGCAGCTCATAATAACCCCTATAGAAATCCCCTGTATCATCCCCTATACAACCCGCCTGAATCAGTTTAGTCTATAGCTCATCTACGTCCCCATCATCGACCTACCTGTGGGGCAATCTCTCTTCTCTCCCTACCATTTTACATTTGCACCGTGCAACTTCAACAGACACCCCTAAGCCCTAAAGCCTTAAGCCTAGACCCTAAACCCTAAGCCCTAATAACCCTAATAACCCTAATAACCCTATTAACCCTAATAACCCTAATCTCTTTAAATTTCACTTGCCCAGGAGCTCAAACCTCAAGGCCACCTGAGGGTCCCCAAACATGCCGAAGGTTGAAGGTTTGGGGCTTACAGCCATAGTCCCCCTTAAGTAGATAGACTATGGCTTTGGGTATATTACAATAAGATCCCCAGATACCCCGTATTCTATCTACTGAAGGGGGACTACAAGGTCTTAGGCTTTGGGGTTTGAGGGCTTAAAGATTCAGACGTTTCCCTCATGTGGAGGAAGCCTTCAGAGGCTTCAATATTCAAGGGTGTTTGGGGATCCTTCTGGCGTTCGTGGTTTCAGGGTGGATTGGCGTGGCTGTTTGGCTGTCTTAGAGGTTGGACGACTGGCATGTCTTGAGTGCTTCAGGTAGGGGGATGCCCAAATTGAAACGGATGGCCGGGCGTGGAAGAAGAAGGCTTCAAACACCATAGTATTGATGAATCGGGTGGTCTGAACTAGTCTACAGTTCCACCTACCTTTCACAATTTAGAGGTCCCCAAGCAGAAGCCAGCCAAGGGTCTGAGGGTTTCCGGGGGGCTCGCAGAAAAGCATACGTCTGGAGAATCTAAAGATATTTGGGGATTATCAAAAGGTTTCAACTAGGAGTCCTAAATCCTAAATCCTGATCTAAAACAGTTATGAAGCGGATATCTGCTAGAAAGGCCTTTCCTACCCTATATATCATTAACATACACCCACCCAACCCCCAAGAAGGCCTTACTGACCCTGAAGGGGAGAAACTCCCTATGCCTTCTCCAGGACGCCGACGCCCAGGTTGCAAATCGCTTGCTTCTTTCGGTCCGGCAGCGGTGGTTGGAAGAGCCTTTCGTGGTCCTTGCAGGGGTATAGACCACCCTCCTTGAAGGGGGATCCTAAACCCTAAACCCTTGTATCACGCTGCTGGTATCCAACTTTGAGAGTGCTCGTTTTTGCGGTTGCTGGACAGTTCAGGGTTCCGAGTTAAGGGTTCTGTGTAGATTCGTCGTCCTGCAGGATCACAGTTTTCTGAATGTCTTTGCTACACTCCCCCAAAGGCTAACATGGAGGACCACCGCCCAGGCAGAAAGCGGTGTACATGGCTTCCCATGCTTGTTTGCGGGAGGGTAATTACTCCGTTTGCGCATCACTTGGGATCTTCGTTGCCTTCCAAGTGCTCCTTATGACAGTCGCACAGAACAAAACTGAACAAAACCCTTGAACTCTGTTGCGAAGACCCCAATGCCTCCTCCTTCCCTGCAGCCTGAAGCCTGAAAGCTTCAAAAGCCCTAGAGGCCCATCAAAGGGGTCCTCACAATACCAATTGTTTTCGGGATGCCCGAGATGTACCCGTGGATTTCTCGGACAATAATTACAGGGGTCCTGGTAAGCCCTGGGGGCCCCAACGCCACTGAATGAAAGACAGCGCCTTTCACCTCGCTCGGGACCCCAGTGTCTGCTCTTGAAGTGCAAAGAGCCCTAAACCCACAAGAACCCTCCAAAACCCCTTCGAGCTCACACCGCGGGTCCCGCTTGAGGACGCCCAGTGGCAGGGTGCAAACGCAGAAATCGGCTTCGAGGGCGCGGCCGTCGCGCAACCTCTCTTGACGGATTCCGCATGCCACTCATGCTTTGGTATTGCCACACTGTTACGCCTCTTCCAGCTACTGCTGCCGATGCCGCCGCTGCTGCTTCTACGAATACGGCTACGAAAACCTCAATGACAGGAACGCGAGCACACTCTGGTTAGCCGCCTGACTACCGCTGCGGGCTGGCCGGCGGAGGCTGACCCGTCAGACCACTCGATGCCTTCAACTGGCGCCTGAGTCATCACTGCAACTTTACTTGGTGTGTGGACATTTATGAAACTGCGTTTTGTTGCGGCACGCTTAATTGTAATCCACTATGCGAAGCAGTCAAGTTTTCTTGGATCGTTCTTATTCGGCTCGAGCTTCAACCAAATTCAGTGTTTGTTTGCCAGGCCCTGCAGCAGAAGCGGAAGGCAGCTGCAATCTCATGTGATCCCCAAGGTTTCCCTTGAACACCTGTGGAAGATGGTGCATGAAAGCTCCTACTCAACTATCATCCGGGCGCATCAAGGATTACATTGACGCCGGCGGCCAGGTGATCGATGAGCTGCACATAGCCGGCCTTTCTTCAGCTACAATCAGCTGAGCAATGTTAGGGGGTTGGAGATATGCTAAAGGACTCCGAAAGGTTGAAGTAAACCAGAAACAGAAAATTGTCACAATGATGAAACATATTCTAGCCTTTCTGTTGGCTTCTGGGGTGTAAGGCCTTGTGCTTCCACACTCATTCCCCGCAAACACCCAACGAGCCACACTTTTTGGGGAAGAACGTCTCTCGCATGCGGCGAAAGCCAACAGGGCTTGATGGGGGTTTCCCAAAATTAGGGGCACCTTTCCGGGGTGAATATGTTGGGGTTACGTTGGGGCCCCCCTATTTTGGGAGACTATCATGAATTGGAGATGCATGCCTTGCTCTGAAAACACAAGACACATGCTTCGATAAATGAATGATCTGTGCACATTATTGGTGTTCCAAACGCATGTTGGATGTGGCCTTACATCAAGCTAAAGCATTGGTGACCTCTTGCAAATGCTGACTTTATCCAAACGTCCTGAAGCTATCTCCCACTTCCTCCAAGAGCTCAGAGATACTGCGGCCCCCAACGTTTGAACCCAAGGCCTTAGGGCCTGAACTCTTCTCCATGAGACCCAAAAGTACTGTTCATGGAGAAGCATGCATGACCTCACGCATACTGCACTACGACGATTCCCAAGATGTACGTGCATGAGCTTCTGCAGGATTTTATCCACCAACCGTAGTTCACGTCACGATTCGAGATTTCAGGCATACTGTTAGAATTTGGGGTTGAGGGTTCAGGGACAAGGACATAAAGCAGGGCCTGCCACATTGCGTGCTCCCCAGAATGCCTTTGGGTCTAAGGTTCAAGGTGTAGGGATTGGGATTAATTTTAAGGCTGAAGGATAGGGAGTAGGATTGAGGATTTAGGGCGTATAGCCACCCTTAAGTAGATGGAATATGGCTTTGGGTATATCATAATAACATCCCCATATACCCCATATTCTATCCCTAAACCCTAACCCTGAACCCTATAAATATTCTGCTTAAGGGGGACTATAATAAGGCTTGGGGTTGAAGGTTTGCGGAGTCGGGTTTCCGGCCTGTCTTGTACGTGTCAAGCCTATGCGTCCAAAACCTCTGCAAACTTTGAGAAAGCAGGAAGAGCGACTGTCGGGGATCACAATGGTAACCATAGCATGAGCAGGCACGTGGGATGAGTGCTGCAGCGGGGCGAATAAATGACAAGTGAGTGATTGATTGGCTGGTGGTCTGACTCACTCACTGACTGACTGATTTGCCAGGTGAATGAGCGAACGCATGGCAACATGAAGAAAACATGGAAAAGATTGCGGTTTTATGGCGGATGTCCTCCCAAGGCAATTCTTGACATGTCAAGTCCTCCCCCCAAAAAAACCAAGTAAATGTCCAAGGATAGCAGTTTGCAACCCACACGTGCCCAGACTGCTAAAACAAACTCAACTCAAGGCTAGCTGCCCTAGCCTCCATGATAAGTCCACCAGACAAACGTAAAGAAAAGCAGTAAACCGTGCGCTTTTGCAAGAGACACTCTGGATCAAATATTCTGACGAGAACAAGCTGAAAAGCACAAGGCTAACCATGAGTTCGTTCTCATCTGTCTCATGCGGCCAGCCAAGAGAATTACTGAAAATTGGTAACCCTTTGTATGGAGAAGGAAGAACTCTTTGCATTATCCTAGATGTACAAGAAGGGACCTACCTCAACTTAACTTACTCTTCGGCTGTTTGCGGCTAGTGCTGGTATAATCTAGGATGATACGCACAAATTCACACAATATGAGGTCTGTGGGGAAGTCTCCTATCAACGATTCAGGTGTCAAAGCTAGGGCGGCCTTGCAGGCTTTCTTCAACTCAAGCTTCCCTTTGTAAGCATGTGGGATTTTCAATTTCGGGTGCCTAGGGCTGTTAAGAAGGTGCTTGCAATAAGGCGGTTTCAGTATGGCATCCATAAGGGTGGGGAAGCTGGCTTTGGCAAATCATACTCAAATCGGCCGTGCTTCTCTTCATCGGCATCCCACCAAGTTGAACTCAGCTCATCTGCGCTTGCCGCATATTCGTGAGCCTAAGCGGGCCCTCCCTTAAAAGCTGAAAGACAACTCATTATCAGCATAAGTCCTTGCCTGGTCTGAACTGAACTGCCATCGAAATCCGTAGAATGCAACAACAACAACAACAGGAATTCCCTGCTGTTAAGCCTCAGGCAATCATGCAATACCGGCTAAAACTCCAGGCCCTAAAGCCTTCAACCCTCAAAGCCCTCAACCACAGAAAAGGCCAGGTTCGGTGTCACCAGCAAGGGCAAATAGCAAAAGCATTTGGGAGCGCTGGTCTAGGCTGTCTATGCCACTGAAGGCTTTCCTCTGCTGCTCAGCTGGATACTTTTTGGACCAGGTTTTTAGGGTTTAGGGTTTGCTTGCGGTTACAAAGCAAGAATAACAGTACGTAATAGCAACAGTAATCGTAATCGTCGGACTCCTCCTCATCCTGCTACTACTGATGCGGCTGCTACTGCTGCTGCTGCTGCTGCTGCTACTACTACTACTACTACTACTCCTGCTGCTGCTGCTGCTGCTGCTGCTGCTGCTGCTACTAAACTGCTACTACTACCGCTACCACCACCACCGCCGCCGCCGCCACCACCACCACCACCGCCCCTGCCGCCGCCGCCGCCGCCGCCGCCACCACCACCACCACCACCACCCCCACCCGTAGAAGCAGCACCAACGGTAGCGGTAGCAGTAGCTCAGTAGCAGTAGCTCAGTAGCAGTAGTCGTAGAAGCAGCAGCAGCAGCAGCGGCAGTTGTCGCAGTAGTACTAGTAGCCATAGTAGTAATACTAGTAGTAATAGTAGTAATAGTAGTAGTAGTAGTAGTAGGAGGACTAGTAGTAGTAGTAGTAGTAGTAGTAGTAGTGGTAATAGTTGTAGTAGTAGTAGTAGTAGTAGTAGTTGTTGTTGTTGTTGTTGTTGTTGTGGTCGTCGTCGTCGTCGTCGTCGTCGTCGTCGTAGTCGTAGAAGTCGTCAAAACAATCATAATGATGATAAGTAACAATCAGCCGGCCAGGCTCGTTTCCTCATTTCTGGTTTCATGATAAAGCAATTTACCAAACCCCAATACCCTAACGCCTCAGATCTGGCGCTCAAAACTCAAATGAAACCCAGAAAAAGCTGAACCGTGCGCCACCTTGCCCTTAAGTGATGATTTGTCATTGGATCGAGTTTGTGCTCCTAACGCTTCTTACCCTGGCTTATTCTTGAGGCCGTGGTCAGGAATGGTGCGGCGAATTCAACGAACGTTACATCTTTTGGCAACGCTATGAATATACAGGGATTACAAAAAAGAATAACGAGATCCTCACTGTGGATTCTACAGGGGCAACTGGGAGCAACTCTCATCTGTAGGTCCAAGAAGATCTATGCTGCTGCCAGACGCACATGCAGGTTTTTTAAACACACACAATCTCAAGGGGCAATGCTGTGAGCTATGACTATGCTACTAGTTCCCATCACAGCTGCTGTTCTTACTGCCACCATTGCCCCTTCCTCGTTCGTTGGTCCATCTTCTTTTCCATTACCCCTATATAAACCCTACAAATACCCTGTTGTAATATAGTAGTTGTTATTTCATTTTCCACTATCCCAACATAACCCCAACATAACCCTAATATAACCTTTTTATACCGTTTTCTTGGCACTAGCTTCGACTTGAGGCCTCGCAAGGTAGTCATCATGCTCCGGTCGACCAACTGTCCGCGCTTGGCATCCTGGTAGCGATGGCTTTTGCGTCTTTCAGAGCTAGACAAACGGCTTAGAAAATCTTCCGGTTTGGGGTTGGCCCTGAGAGGTACAAAGAGTGCTTGTGGATTTGAAGAAGCCATGAATTCTTCTTAGCCGTGCCCAACCCACATCCTTCTTCTGTGCCCAACAGCAGAATCTCCATACAGTGCCGAAGATAACCTCTAGCAAATCTTATGTGGAGCTCGCAGTGAACTATGTTTGAGCTTCTTCTTTATCCTTTAGTTGCTTCACGAGGGATAAGGGCGCATGACGCCTGGCCTATATGCTCTCAAATATAATGCTGAAAAGACGCCGGCCTGCTGCCTGCTCTCTTTGCATAACACTTGCAGAGCGCATTTCGTTTGTTCAGGTCTTTGCTGCATGAAGTAGAAACACGAAGAACGCTTTAAACGGCCCACATACAACTCACACATCTACTTCCTGTCCTTCTCGTCAGCGCGTTGCTTCATCTCAAAGAGGTTCATCATGGACTCGTACAGCTTCTCCATTCGCTTCACATCACCGTCACTCAGCAGAGTGCTTTGGTGGGGCTCGGCTTCAGTTCCCACAGCTTCAAAAAATGGGCCGCTGTCCCAGTCAGTATCCATCAGCTTTGCACCAATTGCCTTTGCCAATGGCATGATGGGATTGGAGCCTGGGCTGCTGGTAAGCAACTCAGACTGAGTTACCACAACAATACGGAAGCCATGTTTTTTTCGCCCAACCTATCTATGCATATACCCTAAACCCTAAACCGTGAATCGTAGTTTCCATGTCATTTTCCATTATCCCAAAATAAACCCACTATAACCCTAATATTACCCCAATGGGAACCCCCCTGAGCCTTAATCTAGGCTAGCACTTAAACAGCAACCCAGGAGCGAGATCTGCCGTGTACCCAGGCAGCTCCCAGGTCTATGGCTGAGCCATCTGCAAAGTGCTCAGTACAAACGCGTCCACCCAGTCGCGGTCGAGCTTCCACCACTGTCACCTCAAAGTCGATCTCAATCTCCGGCCTGCCCCTCCTCTTAAAGGTTTGGGGCTTAGGGCTTATGGTTTAGGGTTTAGGGTTTGGGGCTTAGGGTTTAGGGTTTAGGGTTTGGGGCTTAGGGTTTATGGTAGTAATCCTCTGGGCTGTTGTTAAGAAATTCTGACTTCCTAAGCTACCTTTAGATGGACCTATCGTACGTAATGTAGTTCCCGCTTATGGCAAGATATGGTAGTTTCCA